TTTTTAAAACTATTAAAACACTCATGTAAGGGACAGACTGGAATTTACTGTCCTTATTGGGGACTGGTGGGTGGCTTTTCTCCCATTTAGTCATCTGACATGTATTTATTGAGCACCTACTCTGTCTAAGCATTGTTCTGAACTGGAAAATTTTTCTTAAAGGGCTATCATGTCAAAGCATTAGGAGTTTTAGCTTGATATTTTAACTTTTTTTCCCCTTAGATGCCTTTGGAATCTCTTATCTTAGAGCCATATAGACCTTCTGTGGTCTCTTGAATCCAAACCAGAACCTTCTTTGGATTTGCTAGACTTGACAGCCTTGGTCTTTTAATTGTCTCTGGAGGCTGAAGAACCCAGCTAAGCTTCCAAAGGAAATGTGTTTCCTTTGTCATCCTTGATGCGGCCATACCAACCCTCAGGAACAGGTGGCCCGAGGAGACACTGTTGTTTCAGCAGCAGAAAAGTGGGGTCTCCATTGGGGTCTCAAGATCTTCCTGAGTTCCTCACTCCTATCTCTCAATTCTGCGTGGGGGAAACAAGGAAGGAGAATTCTCAGACGGAATGCTCATCGAGCAAGCTGGAGCCTGTATGGAAAATGCATCCATTTGAAGGAGAACGCCCATGTGCCTTGACTCTCTGCACTGGGTATTATCCCCCATTCTTCTCCCATCCTCCCCAGTAGGGAGAAACATCCCACACAGTCACATTTGCGGCTTCTGCTTCATGAGGCTCCTACACTCCAATGTTAGAGGAAAGTCACTCTAAGGCCTCAGCTCTCACAGAGCAAGGAAACTCACTCATCTAAGGTTAAAAACTGAATCTGCAGGGAGTGGTAGCTCACGCCTGTAATCCCAGCATGTGGGAGGCTGAGACAGGCGGATTGCTTGAGCTCATGGGTTTGAGACCAGCCTGAGCAAGAGTGAGAACCTGTCTCAAAGAATGCTGTGGCATCACGGCTCACAGCAACCTCCAACTCCTGGGCTCAAGCAAGTCTCCTGCCTCAGCCTCCCAAGTAGCTGGGACCATAGGTGCCCGCCACAACACCAGCTATTTTTTGGTTGCAGCCGTCATTGTTGTTTTAGCGAGCCCGGGCTGGATTCAAACCCGCCACCTTAGGTGTATGTGGCTGGCAGCTTAGCCACTTGAGCCACAGGCACTGAGCTGACACTAAGGCTTTTAAACCAAAGTTAATTTTTTTCTTTTTATTCCCCTCCAGAATAACTTCTAGAGAGAAAAAGTTTATAATAGAAATCAGGGATACGTTTACGCTTTTATTAACCGTATTTAATTGTTTACATCTGTAGATTTTGTTCTACTGTCTTTGAAGTAGATTATTACCCTTTAATTAAGGTTTTATAACCACTAATTAAGTTTTTTCCTCTTCCATGGCACGTTTCCAAGTAGAAAACCATTTGTCCTCTAAAGATTAAATTTTTTTTTTTTTTTTTT